TGGAAGTTGGTACAGGGACTTCCTTTTAGAGAAGGGCAGAATGGACATTTATGTGAATACATTTTCTCTAATGTGGCCAAAACGTTGCATGTTTTGTTGTTGTTGGTTTTCTGTGCCTTTCAAACTCACCATCTTCATGCCATTCCCGGCTCATTGCATTTATTCCCTGATTGGATTTTCAGCAAGTGTTTTAGCTCCTAGTTTGATGCCTATTTTTGCTGTAGTTTGTTGGATTCCTTATTAGCTGATCCTCACCACACTCTCAGTCTCCAGAGGATGATAGATAGAGTAAAGCATCAGAAGATGTGGGACCTGAGAGGTTTATGTTGCCCCTGCCTTCAAATTCGGCCATTCCAGAAAATGAAAATAGGAAAAGGAATCTGAAAAGACTTATTTCTACATTAATTATTAGGAAGTCATCTCAATAATCTACAAAAATGTCAGATCACTTTAAAGCAATCAAGTGTTGCTTTCTTATCAGGTTTTACTAATGTTTTGAGTCATACTAAAGTAGAGGAAACAATTCACTATAAGAAAATATTCTTGATACTTTCTAATTATTGAGAAAAAATTCTCAAATGAAAGATGGAACTAAGTATGCAAGATTAAAATGCCAAAAACATAGGCCAAAAAAAAAAAAAAAGAAAGAAAAATAAAAGTAGGCAACTATGTAAATGGGCAGAAAAAAATCACTGAAAAATTTCAAGTAGGGCTTTTTATTAAATTTGCCTAAATAGAAAAAGAATGGAGGAAATACAATGAAAATATTAATTTTTTCTTTTTGAGATGAAAATATTTGAAAGTAAGATTCCTGGCTAGATTCAGGAAAAGTAAAAACTTTATGGATTTGTTGTTGTTTTGTTGTTCAAATAATGCTACACAAGGTTTAGTATTAATATTGGAACTATGTATATCTGTTCTGTTCAGGGAAGAGGAAAAGCATAGCCTCTATGGTCCAAATTCAGAGTGAGTCTACTAATACATTTGAGTTCTGGAGACTGGACTCTGCAGAGAGAACATGGAGCATTCTGTAGTAATGCTCATTAATCCCAAAATGTACATCTGTGTTAGCTGTTTCCCTGGTGTTTAGTCAGCAAATATCATCTTAATGAGCTTAAGCTAGGAAGAGTCATTTGCCAATATTTAGAATTCTATAGTTACAAAAGTGTTTTCTTATAGCTAACCACATCTGAACTTTTTCAATAATCATGTAGAGATATTTGGAAAACCTCAATGTAATTTTTGACAGTGATAATTTAGAATTTAGCAGGCATATCTGTAATTAAATCTTTTATTTGAGAAACTTTCAGGAAAGTATTTAAAACAATCATGTATTACACACTCCAATATAAATTAGAAGGACAGCTAATTTAGTTACACTATCAAATATAGTTATGTATAAATGAATTTCAAAATACTATAAATATAAAATATTTCAAATGATACATATATATTATAGAGTTATGTTTCCTACAGTCTAATTACTGTATATATAAAATGGTTGATTAAATATGATTAATCTTTAAGATCAATTTCAATTTTCAATTTCACTTGTAGCTCTTATCTAATGTATATCATGTATCCATTAAAATCAACTGGAAGATCGCCAGAGTAAATCTTTAACAGACAGCACAATAATTGAGAACTGCTTTTTATCTTACTTTTATTACAAAACGTAATGCTGGAACATAATGGGAAAATGTATAGAAATATGAATTTAAGTAAATTTCCAAATATTTTACTCTTTAATTTCAAAAATTTGTATCTTTTAAACTTCCTTGTCTGTGTTACTCTATGTGCAAAGATTTATATAATACTAATTATAATTTTTGCTTTCAATAGGGACATATTAGAGACCAGGAATGTCCTCTTTACTATTACTTAATGAAATTCCTTATAATTCTTACTTTTGATGACAGAATTGCAACAATTCTAACTTTTAAAGGTTATAACACTATGCTTATTTAAAAATAATAATATATTTAAAATAGAAAAAAGACTATGAAGTCTCTATAATCAGAAACAACTATTCAAAAGAGAAAATTCTCTCTTACCTGCTCTGCTATTGTAGATTTTATTTTAGTTATTTTGTCTTTTTCTAGTTCATGACTTTTCTTTTTTTTGTGGCTTCACATTGAAAAACACTTCCATAAATATCTTATATTATAATCAGCTACTAATCATCAAGTCAACATTAGCTGTAAATAATCTGACTTGCAGCAAAATCCAATTAGCAATATTTACTACCCATATTATTCCCAGAAAATTTTATAAGAGCTTTAGACAGAAAATTATAATATCTCTATATAAAAACTTTTCAAATTTTTGTTTAAAATTTATTTGTTATTAACCTTCAGAAAATTCTGTTCTAATGTACAACATTTGAAGCTTATAAGATACTGTGATCCTCAAGTTACACTTTCATATTAGAGAAGTTAAATCCTCGTTGTTTTTGTAGAACTTTTAAATTTCTCTGACAAAATGCAGTGGTAGGACTTCATTTTCTAGGTTGTCTATATTTATAGTAAATAAAAAAGAAATAGAGAAGCCCAAGCTTGTCAGTACAGTGTCTGAATGCCGAGTTCTAGATGCTGGACAAAAATTGTAGAATTAGAGGTCAGTGAAATTCTGGAAGCCTATGAGCAGAGACAAACTCATAGCCGGAGCCACAGACCTAAGTAAAACTCATACGCAGCTGAAGGCTGCAAGAAGCAATCAGGAGATATCCTTGGTGAAGTCTGAAGGATGCATGGGAGGCAGCAGATGTTACAGGGGAAAAATTAAAGGAAAAGACTTTATACGGGGAATATTGCATTTGCAAATCTTTGATAGAATGTTTTGAAAATTAGAAAATATTTGATTTTGCCAGCGAGAGAGTTGGAAACTGGTGAAAATGGGGAAGCTAAAAATAGATAAAAACTAAAATATAAAGTCTTGAAAGATGAAGGTCATGTCTTTGAATTTGATTTCAAAATTATTGAATGAATTACTTTGTTGATATGTGTGCATATTGGGCTTAGAAAGTTCATTTTTCATAGATATCACCTTAAAACCTTTGCCATACATAGGCATAAAGTTTGTATATCTCTCTTCTTGTGGGCTCAGGTTCTTGTCCCACATGGGGCTGTCACAAAAGTGACAGGGGATATTGGTCAGGATTGCCTTGGGGATTTCTATACGTCATTATTCTTAAAGTTCTCCCAAGAAAAATTAATATGAACTCATTTTCTTTTCACACTACTAATGCTAAGAATTCTTTTGGCAGTGCAAAGGGAGTGAAATTGGAAAGAGACTTTTTCTCCTGTCATTCTGCTCTAATAGAATCATTTACTTGGTTGTTGTTTTTACTCATAGAATTTGACTCAAAGCTAATTCTGTTCATTTAGTTTTGCTTCAAAAGTTACACATACGGAACAATGCTGCCCCACACCATTTCATGCCTTACAGTTCCATGCACTCAGCCATGTTCCTGTTTGTTCTTATTAAACGTTTATACATGATTCCCTACCTTGAGAATTCTTAACTCTCCCTCTTCATATCTTGAATATCATTTGGAACAGTAGTTTTGAAAAATTTCTCCTTATGCCTCACAGATCTCTTATCTGAGTGTATGTTAACATTGTTATACCCGTGAAACTGGTGTTTCAAACTCATATGTATCAATGAAAATATTGTACTTAAAAATAGTAAGGGAGTCCTCATACCATCCATTTTTGGCAAAGCGGAATAAAGATAGCAAATAACAACATTTCTTTCAGGTAAATTTTGGCTATTTATTTAAAAATTCATGGTAAATTCTACCTTTAACAAATGGAGGTTTTCTTCAAAGTTTTAAATCAAATATTTTATGTTAAATATTTTCAGAAGCATTTGAAACGATCTGACATTTCTGGTAGCCCAACAATACCAGTGACTTTCGGTAAAGCTGCAATGTTGCTGAAGCAATTCAATCATTACTTCAGTCATTTCCTTACCAGAAATTTTGATTTGACTGACCCATTTCAATCCACAGTAACAGCTTTGTTCCTAAGAGACTATAAATCGAAGAAACGCTCGCTAAGAGGCAATTGCCAGTGCAAATCAAAGCCTTTGCTATTATCACAGAGCAACCGACAGCAAACATCCGCTGCAATTATTGGTCTGTTTGTATGGGGTGTGTGGTGTTTCTGGTTTCACTCTTCTCTGAAACTTATCTGCATGTGAGAAAAATTGCATGAAAGAAGTTTTACCGCCGCATACTGTAGCTGTGCTTGAGCTGAATGTGGAGACTTTAGTTCTTTTCTCTCCCTGGATTCTGAGCTGGGGGAGCACAGTGCTGGTGTTGTGCTCTGGGCTAGGCTGGCATGCGTGATGCCCGCTCGGAAGGGAGGTGTGAGCAGCTTCCAACACCTACACCGTCTGCGTTTGCTCTACAACTACCTTGAACTAAATCAAACAGCACACTGAAACAGTCTGGAATAAGCAAGAACAAAACCTATCGGCTATTGTGACCTACACGTGGAACGCCGTTCTTTAATTTAAAGGTATTTACATGGGTGCAGGAAGAGTTAAATCATTCACAAGGCTTCAAAATAAATGCCTCACACTTTAAATGTGGCTAGTTTTCCATGTAGTTCTCCCAACATGTGTCAAAGTGCAGGTCATAAAAGAATCCATTCTTAAAAAAAAAAAAAAAGAATCCATTGTTTGTAGGAGAGAAAGGTAGTTGGTTAATGAAGACTCTCCACAAGGACAAGCCATCACAGTTTGTTAAAACAATAAATAGCTATTTAAAATCCCAAGACATATCTGTGATTTTTAAAAATCATACACTATCTAGAACCTGAATTCACAGAAACAACTGTCTCTGATCCAATTTTGTGGAAGCGTGTGTATGGCCTTCCATATGCTACATATTTTTCTTCCGTAAATTCCTATTGCAATCAATGCAAATCTTTCAGGTTAAGTTCCGCTCCAACTTAATGTTTATGCTGTGCCTTCAAAAGGGAAAAAAGGCTTACCTCTGACAGTCAAGTGGGATGCCCGGAAGCCCCTTCTCAGCCTCGGCCTCAGCGTGTAAGCAGATGCTCTCTGAGCCAACAATCTGTTAACAGGAAGCAGGTAAACCCGAGAGCGTCCGCCTGCGTTACAGTCCAGTGCCCACTCAAGCACACACCTGCTTTCTCAAAACCTGCTGCTCATGTGCGACAGCCACGCACAGGACCGGTGTTAGCAGAGGGAGCACACACCCTCCTTTGGGATCAGGATAAGCAAATAGGGAGCTGCTGAGATAATACCGGGAGAAAGCTTTGCCTTCCCAAGACAGAATCTTTTTCTGCTCCGGATAGCAGATATGCAGCATTATCACTCTGCATTCCACTTTCTCCAATCAGCTAATTGCAAGCGGTAGCAGTCAAAAGCTTGTGGAAAGGGCAGCTTGCAGGCATGTGCAGCTTTGATAATTGTACACTAACATACCCGTTGCTTCTCCCCTCTCTGAGTAAATTCTTTAAAAATGCTTCTTCCCGGGGAAAGCTCAGCAGAATATGCCACACTGTTTTCCATAAGTAAAATGGCTGGTTCTCTCGGCACTGCTGCAGACAGCTCATTGGGTTCCACTGGCTTTTCGTAGCCATAGCAACAACCAACAGACAGACTTAGATAGCAAGCATGGCTGATCATGTGCGGTGCGAGATTGAGCTTGTTAATTTCTTTTCATCAAATCATCATTTTTTGAGGAGAGTAGCTTCTGTTATCTTTCTAAACATTTCACCAATAGCACAAGTGCTCTAATTTTTTTGGCTTTGCTGAGGAACTTTTCTTGAATGAACCGATTTGATACATTCGAAATAGAGGAAGTGAAGCCGTGTTTGCATCTATCCAGGTTAATAATATGCAAATCACTGGAGAGACACTAATTGGAATCATTGTCAAAACCGGTTCTACCTTTCAGTCATAGAATGAGCGGAAAGGATATTGGCAAATGGGGGCAATTGTGCTTTTTGTTTTTATATAATAAAGCCCTATGAATTTTTATAGATGGTCAAAATAATAAGTGAATCAGACAGGGTATTTCAGTAAGATTTTGAAATATTTATTTATTTATGGATTGTGTTCATCTAATTATTTTATCATATTACACAGTCTAAAGTAGAACTTTAAGATTTTTCTACTGTTTCTCCTACAGGAAATGTTTTTCAACTCAATTATAATTTATTTGTAACTTAAAAAAACAAAGCCAAATGAAAAATCCTTTCACTTTACAAATTACAGTACCTCAAGGCAGAAATAGTTTTATTTTCTCAGTAAGATGGGTCACATTCCACCCTCTCTTAAAATTTCACCTCCTCAGGGAATCTCCCATGATTAATGCTGTTAATAATTTAAACCTGCAAAACCCCAGCCTTTTTTTGTATTCGAATATGGCCACTGTTCATATTCTCTCTGATATACATTTCCCTTTGTTTTTGTTCCTAGCAATGTATTTGAAGTACATGTTAACACCTTGGACTTGTAAATACAGGTGTTTCTTTTCTGGTAGTCATTGATTCATATTTTGTGAGTATTTTGTCAGTAGTAATTCCTCAACTGTAGCATGCCTAGGAATCCTGCTCATGCAGATTTGGAGAGCTCATCTCTCATCCATGCCCATTCAGATGCGCACCTGGCAGGTCTGAACCAGTTTAGGAATACCCTGTCTGCTGAAGAACAGGAGCTGTGCCTGCTTGCTAGGCCCCTCAGAACTTCCTGTTGTCCAAAGCCCGCTTGGCTTTTCTCACATACTCCTTGTATTTTATTGCTTTGCCATTCCTGAATGTGCCTCTACCTTTATCTTCAGCTTCATAGCCTACCCTTCACTTCTCAAACTGCACACTCTGGAATTACATACTGTCTAATGATTCCTTGATGTGCAGATGTTTCTGCTTCCAAAAGGTGCTCAATTGGTCCCACTCAGCACCTTTTATGTCCATTCTAAACTGCCTCTGACTTTGTCTTTCAACACCTGGGTCAGTCAGACCACCTCACTAGTGACACTCCCAGGTTTGTGGCGGCCACCTCTGTGTTTCCACTGTGCCTGGGATCTGTCTATACTGTTACAGGACTTTTCATGCCCTGTTGACTTATTAGCAATTTCCCTTTGATATCTGACTCCCAGACTGCTCCATTACCTGCTAGAAAGCCAGTCTGGTTCATGTCGTATTTATCCTCCATAATTGGTATAGTCTAACATCTCAATATGATTTTTTGAGATGGGGTTTCCCTATGTCATCCAGGTTAGTCTCCAACTCCTGGACTCAAGAGACTGTTCTACTACAGCCTCCAAAGTAGCTGTGATACATAGAGGAGAGGGTGAAGGGAGGGCAGGGACAAGGGGAAAAAATGAGAACCAAGACCTGTCATGTAGAGGTACAAGATCCCAATGATGAATGTAACTGTAGTGTATACCTAAAATGTACCAATAAACTCAACGAGAGAGAAAAAAATGACTACATTAAGATGGTACCTAAAAACAAACAAATAAACAAACAATCCCCCCGCAAAAGCCAAAGTAGCTGGGAAGATAGAAATGGGTCACAATGCCAGATTTTCTCAATACATTGTCAGTGGGGATCTACAACACTACATAAAGAGGTACTGCATAACTGGATAGTGTGAAGTCTGTGTTTTAACGCATTTTTTATATGTCACACCTTTGTGAATTATCACCTCAGAAAAACTGTAGTGATTTTTTAAGAAAGTTGACACATTACAAAAAGACATCCGGAAGCATTCTAAGGTCATTTGTGTTTGAAAGTGTTTTTTCTTACATCACATTTCTGCAAATATCTTTATTCTATCCACAGGCTTGATTAATTGGCTGGAATGCTTGAAAGTCACTTTCCTTTGAAATTCCAAAAGCATTCTTCCTTTGTCTTGTACCTACTGGATCTACAGCACCCTCAACTCCCCCTCTTCCAAGTCCTCTGCATCCAGTGGGGTAACACCTGCACATAACCGGTATACCTACCCCGTACACTTTATCTCTGGATTACTCACAATGTAAATGTTATGTAAGCTGTTGTTAAACTAGTTATTTAGGAAATAATGACAAGGAAAAAGTGTATACATATTTAGTGCAGGTATCATTTTGTTTTTGAATATTTTCAATCTGTGGTTGGTTGAATTCGTAGGTGCTGAAGCCATGGATGCTGAGGGTTGACTATGTACTGCTCTGTTCTTTCAGTGCTCTTTGCTTTCCACCTGCCTGAAGGCCTGCCTTGCTCTCATATCTCTGCCATGGCCCGTCAGTGTCCCACCAGCTCTTCAGCTCAGCTCAGCCCAAAGTCTGATGTCCATTCTTCTTTTGAATTTTTTTTTATTTGTAAATACAAGTCCCCAAGAGGTAAGTACGATTTGTCCAGCTTGTCTTTCTGAGTCAGATGAGATACTTCATGAGTCAGCGGCAGCTTTATACCCGGACAAGCCTGTGCCTTAGACAAATTAGCTATGGCAGGGACACCAGCACTATCTAGTATTTTCCCAGTATAACAGCTGCAAAGTAATAGCTTACTGTGGTTTTAATTTGCAATTCTCTCATTACTGACAAAATTGAGTACCTCCTTTTTTGACGATCTTTTGAGTTGCCTCTTTATTTCTATTGGGGTATTGCCTTAGTGTGGACTTTCAAAAAATTTTTTAAATATTTAAAATTTATTAATTAAATTTGTTACATGATTCAAAGTTAATAAGGTATTCATTGCTATCTAAAGGGAGCTCCATAGTTCACACTAATTGTTTTTGTTTTTGTTATGAGATAAAAATGCAGATAGGCATAAAAAATCCTCCAGGTGAAAGTTATTTTCAGTATGAAAGCATGTACTATCACGCCTTAATGTGATTTTATAAACAAAGACTACATGTCTAGAATTCGAAGTCTAATAATAGAGTATCTACCTATCTTAATCTACTACTTTGAGTTAAATGATATAATCCACACATAAGTCTATCTATATTTCCCTATTACCGTCCATCTATCTAAGACAAGCACAGATGTGCAAAGTACTAGCACCTGGTGAACCCGAGGCGACGGATAGTTTATTTTACTATTCTTTCCACTCTTGTGTAAGTTTGAATTTTCTTGTTTTCAAGATAATTATTTTCACATGAGAATAAATTATAGTGTTAAATATATACAGAATAAGGTTAAATTTATTGATAAGGGAAAAACTAAAGTCAAAAGTAAAGAAATTGATAAACTATGGAGTAACAAAAGGGATTTTTATTTTTGTTTTTAAGAGACTGTTTTGGTAGAGAGTGCTGGAGACATTTTGTATTTTCTTGAAAAGGATTTGCTATTTCCCTACATTTGCTCCATTCCTGTATCCTGATTCTAAGCTCTGTATCCTCTGGCTCCTATGTAGAAATCCTTCTAATTTGGTTCCTCTGTTGCTGTAAAAATTTAACAAGCTCGTCTTTGCTTAAATCAATGTGTTCTTCAGTTACACTTTTCCCTAGAGCTCTATAGCTAGCATCTACTAAGGGGCCTGCTCTCTGGTACAGCAAAGAAACCCATTGTAAGCCTTAGAAAATAAAATTTGAGCATGCTTTAATGGGGGTAGCACCGACTTTTATAAAGTTTAGACTGAATTTTCTACTTTCAAACAACAAAACAGTATCCCAAAGATGTTTCCTAACTTCTACACATTTATTTTCGCAATGGTACAAACAATGTACTGAGAGAGGGAAGATGACAGGAATAAAGTGTGAGAACGACCTCGGACAGGGTTAGAAAGATATTTGAAGTATCTGAGTAAAGCAAATTAGATTATTGGTGAGGTTCCTTTCCCCAAGAACTGTATGGTAAGAAGGAGACCGGCCACAAGTTATTAGGCCCTTACATCCTCTGAAGAAGTCTGATACTGATTAGTATTCAGAATAACTTTGATACCTCTGAGGAACCTGAAACCAAAACAATCCTGCTACAGTGAAATCCTCAAGGAAATCCACTTATTGAATAAATTAAAATGAGAAAATTATTACAGAAGAAAATTTACCAGAGGGAAAAATGGTAAGAATGCAAATGTCAAACACTGGAAAATTAAAAAAAAAATGGATGTAAGGTAAAAACTATTACCACAAAACTATCATATATGTACCATAAAAGAAAATTCCATCAGTAGTTACCAGAACGCCAGGCCTAGAAAGTTCTGTATTACCTCTAGGTTAAAATAAAAAGAGAAAAAGCAGCAAGAGGTTTAGTCAGGCCTATATCTGGACAACCTGCTCTTTCCTGGCCAATAATAACACTGTTGCTTTAAATATGCCAGTTATATCAAGCTTAGAGTTTGCAAATGACTATGATTGCAGTAGCTTAAAGGACTTCATCTTAAAATATACATTAGAATGTCAGTACTGTGGGGGAGATGGTGGTTATCCAGTAACAACAAGAACTAACCCACAATGAAACCGTCTATCTACCTATCCACTTCCAGCCCTGAAAACTGACCCCAAACATAAGTACCTGTTGCCACCCCAATAAAGAAAAGCATTCCAGGTTTGTGTGAGATTCAGCAAGAATTTAGTGAAG